AGGCTGGCCCCCTGGTATACCCAGGGGTTGCGGCTTATGAATTGGGAACTAAGACGGCTAGAGAGACGGTGGCGGCGTGCCCGCGACGAAGCATCAAGAACATCCTATAGGACGTTTATGAGATGGCAGTCAAAGCTGCTAAGAGATAATTCTATGCAGCCACGATTGCGTCTGCGAGCTCACACCCAGCCCAATTGTTTAGAACAATTCAGTCCTTGACAGTTCTGCCACAAGGCAGACAAAATAGTAGGGAATCGGATATTGGCTGCGAGGCTTCTGCGAGCTATTTTGCAGATAAAGTCTTGGCGCTCCCCGCCACAGTTGAAACAGTGAGTGAACTTGAGGCCCCTTGCACGTCCTCGCAGGGTTTAGAATGTTTTGACCCGCTCAGTCTGGAGGAAGTTGACAGATTGCTCGTATCTGTGCATCCAACCACATGCTGCCTGGATCCATGCCCTTCCTGGCTCATTAAAGCGTGCCATGAGGGATTTCGAGGTGCCGTAAGGGCGATTGTCAACAAGTCCCTCTTGGAGGGACAGTTCCCTGAGGCACTTAAGGAGGCGATGGTCCGCCCTCTCCTGAAAAAACCAACTCTGGACCCGGCTGAATTGGCCAACTATCAGCCGGTGTCTAATTTGCCCTCTTTGGGAAAATAAACCCAGCGAAGATGGAGGTCCTGTGCCTGAGCCGGAACAGTCCGGGGTTGGGGCTCCCTCTCCCGACCTTCGATGGGGTGCCTTTTGGTGCCAGTGTCGGAGGTTAGGAGTTTGGGAGTGCTCCTGGATTCCTCCCTAACTATGGAGGCCCAGGTGGCAGCCACTGCCAGGTCTGCATTTTACCATCTTAGGCAGATTCGGCAGTTGGTTCCCTTCCTCGACCGCGATGACCTGGCTACAGTGATCCATGCGATGGTCACCTCAAGGCTAGACTACTGTAATGCTCTCTACATGGGGCTGCCTTTGTCACAGATCCAGAAGCTGCAGCTAGTGTAGAATGCGGCGGCCAGGCTGTTGATGGGCCTCCCCAAGTGGGAGCACATCCGGTCTGGGCTGAAAGCGCTGCACTGGCAGCCAATAGCATACCGAATCCGCTTCAAAGTGCTGGTACTCACCTTTAAAGCTCTATATGGCCAGGGTCTGATTTACCTGAGGGACCGCCTTTCCCCCCAAGAGAACTTTGGTCAGGGACCCAACACCGCCTGGTGATTCCAGGCCCCCGAGAGGCAAAGCTTGCTGCGACCAGGGCCAGAGCCTTCTCAGTGGCGGCCCCTACCTGGTAGAATGAGCTCCCGGAGATCAGGGCCCTGCAGGACCTTATGCAATTCCACAGGGCCTGCAAGACGGAGCTCTTCCACCAGGCTTTCGCATAGGGGCCGCCCCCCCTACCAATGGTTGCGATAACATCAGGATTAGGAATCGCCCTTGGAAGTTCCGCCATGAATTGTATGGCACTGACATTGTGGGATTGGCTTGAACTATCTACTGGACAGTATCACCCCAAGGGGAGGATTTAAGGAAATGACTGATGCCATCAAAACCACTCAAAGACCATCTTGTTTACAGAAAGCACTTTATTATTGTTATTATTCATGATTTTATTGTTTTATCTGGTTTTATGTATGGACTCATGCCCCTTGTAAGCCGCCCTGAGCCTGTTTGCGGGGAGGGCGGGGTAAAAATGCCTAAATAAATAAATAAAATAAGAGCCTTGAGAGACTCCTCAAATCCCACATGGGTGATTTAGCTGCCCTGATGAAAAATTCTGACGCTCATAAGATAAAAGATAAAAGACAGAAAATATCAGAAACCCTCAACTTTTCCAAATTTCTCATAAAATTAAACGATCATTCATAGCTGTAGGAATAATAGGAAGGAGCAACACCGGACATATTTCCCTTGCCTATGCAGATCATGCACCAAGAAGTTTAACTGTATAATAATAACAGTATAATAACTAGGATATCTTCCCTATATTGTATTAATATTGATGGAACCTGCCCTGAGCCTGCTGGCGGGGAGGGCAGGATACAAGTCCAATAAAATAAATAAAGAAGGGAGCTGATTTAATTAGTGTAGTGTATGTTAGAAAACACAATTTTGGTACAGATGCAGAGTATTCTGCTCTTCTACTAATCTGTTTATAGACTTTGAAAACTCTCAATTTAGAAGAGCAACTGAGAAAAAGATGGCAATTCCCTACTTGTATGTTGAATAGATAATGTAAATATGACAGATAATGGGTATGGAAAAGTTTACCCATAAACCAGGAGTTTCATTCTCATGCTTAGAATTCTATATGTGATTCTATGACAGTTGTAAATGGAACTTGTAAATCTGGTCCCCTCACCCTGTTGTCTGAGTGGTAAACCCCCCCCCCCCATCTCTCTACATTTCTTGACAAAGCTCAGGCGATTAGAGGAATAGAAAATCTTCCAGCTATCTTGGAGAGAGGAAGAGTGATGCATATGGAAATAGACATGGCTCTCCTCTTTATCTCAGCCATAAATACTCCTATATCTCCTCCTCCCTGCTCTTTGGGGAAGTTTCGCAGGGGACTGCAAAGGAAAAAAGGAGTAGGTAGATGCTGCTAGAATGGTGGCCTGAGGCTGCTGTAGGCTATGCATGGCTTATATAGGGTTTTCATCTCTTATCCCAAACACCAGATGCATATCTTTAAACTCCCAGATGCAGCCGGAGACACGAAAATATTGGACTATTCTAGTTCACCATCTCTGGAATCCTGTTTACTAATGCAGAGGACAAAGAACTCATTCCATGATAGCAGAATGATGTAGCTGCATTTTCCCTGCTATATGAGGATACATCCAGAGTTTGGCCTGCAAGGTCTGCAGCATCTTCCTCCCATTCCAAAAGATCAGTCAGCAAAGCCAGTTGACCAGGTATGAAATAACATAATAAATTATAGAAGAAGTCTCTAATCAGAACACCTGCCAACTGCATGGGACTTACTTGGGATTATGGACCAAGTCATGTATGTGCGGACGTTACCGGATTATGAAATACTAGATGTGTAAATCAACTCCATGGAAAATGTTGTATGCCATGAAGATTTCTGGTGTTATACATGTGAAAGGTCATTCATATATGGAAGTCATCATTTGATTTGTAGTCATTGCATAATGATCATGCATCTGCAATACAACCCTCTATTAAATTATAACCATAAAACACTCCTGTGCACCACACTGTAAATATTCTTTTAAGCAACAGGGCAGTGTAACTTGTTTTCCATTCTACTGATTGTTTTATCATCTTTTTTTGCTGTCTCTTTTCCAGCTTTGCTTATTTGCTTCCTTTATTTTCTTTGCTCTTCCTTTTGTGCTATTATATGTTTCCCTTTAATATTTAGCAAATGCATTAGCAAAGGTTATTTGGAATATTTTCTGTCTACTGAATGTCATGCATGCATTGGTTGAAGGATTCAGCTGTAGACAAAGTTGTCTCCATTAATTTTTTACAATAGTTTAAAAATCTTATTAGGACTACATGGAACCTGAAAGGAATACACACCATAGTAGTCTGTAAACAATATGCTTCTGTTGAAGGAAATACTAGTCCAGTAGTGGGCACTATGCCACCATTGCAAATGGATCTTAATGTAGAGACACAGTGCTTGGAAGGTTTTTTGGCTCGACAGACTTATTAATAAAAGCTTGCTTGTGCCATACAGTCTTCTGTCTAAGAATAGACAGATAACTATGTTACAAAAGTGGGAACAAAAACAAATGTGATAATGCATCAGAGTAGTGGAAATAATTCGCAACTTCCCTTACAGCTCTCTGTTTCATTATATGGCTGTGATGGAATGACATGAAGCATATTAATGTGAGAAATACTTGATACTTTAAAACTGAGAGCTTGTGTGGTGTGGTGGTTAAGAGTGTCAGACTAGGATTTGGGACTCCCAGGTTCAGATTCCCCACTCTACCATATAAGCTTGCTGGGTGACCTTGGGCCAGTCACAGGCTCTCACAGGGTTGCAGTGGGGATAAAATGGAGGAGAGAATGATGTAAACTGCTTTGGGTCCCCACTGTGGAGAAAGGCAAGGTATAAATTAAGTAAATACAGTAAAACTTTTATGTTTAATACGTGAGTTCTAAAATAATTCTTTCTGGAATTCTAGTCAAGGGTAACAAGCTATTTTTTAAAGATAAGACCAATGAGTCTATTGGTTTCAAATTAGTTGTGATGTGGAACCAGAAATAATTGGGGCTACAGCCGTTCATAAAAGAAATGGGAGGAGGCACAACAGAACCACTCCTACAAAAACATAGGACGCACCGCCCCCAAACAATTTTTGCAGTGACCTAGTTCAAAATATAAAATGACACAGACATTATGGGAGTACTTGCTACGTTTCGCTGGAAGTATTTAATGCGGCTGACCTGTGACCTTTTAGCATGCACATGGTACAAATGTGAGGCGGATTCCAACAACAGGGAAAAGGTTTTTCGCCAGCAGCCATTAACATACGAGCCTCAGACCTGCAGCATGACCCCGGAAATGCAGGAGTTAAGCGCAATTCCGTTCAATGGGGTTTATTTCCCATAGGATTGCAGGCTAAACCTGGACAGGGTGTTGCTTTTCTCCGGTCGAATGTAGCTTCTACCATTGGGTAGAAGAAACTCTCCACTCGTTTCTTGAAACAATTCCTCTGTCTTGATGTTGAACATTAACGAACATCCACAGCCTGGAGAGAAATTTAAAGACAGACAAAGTTGCGTGGACTCCGGAACACTCGTTCACACTAGGCGGCTCCCAGCCACACCCAGCCGAAGCCAGATCCTTGCCGTGCCCCCTTCTGCGCACCCTTCCTTCTCTAGTCATACACGAGGCTCTTTGGGACCTTTCGGGACGGAAGGAGCCAGTTATGATTGTAGGGAATCTCTCCGCCTCTTTCTCCGCCCCTCTCGACGAGCCTCTCCAACCGGCTTGCACAAGCGGCGGGAGCGGCTGAAGCCTTTGGCGGCCGGAGCGCACACGCCCCCCCCCCAGCGCCACGGAGGAGGGGGGACCCTCTCCAGGGGCTTTTGCGCCCTCAGCAGGATGCTCTTGCGCCGCATTCATGCACCGTCTCCGTCTTCCCCAGCGCGGGGTAGCTAGCGGGGCTGGCCCTCCTTACGGTCCTTGCGCCTTGCCTTAGCAGAGGCGCGGGGCTGTCGGGGTGCTCCCCTTCTCTCTCTCTTCCCCCGTATAGCGACTGAGGCTGGGTTAGGCTACCCCAGTAGCCGGCGCGAGGCTGAAAACCGGGTGGCGACGGCTCCCTCGCTCAGGAACGGCACGGATGTCGGTCTCCAGGTGCTGCGGCGGCGGCGGCAGAGCGAAGCGTCCTCTGCAGGGCCGGGATTGGAAAGGTAAACCTTCGCGTGGTGTGTGCGTGTGTGGATAAAAGTACAAGCGCCCCCGGGAGGGGGCCAGGCGGCGTTCACGTACACAGCCACTGCCGAGAGGCAGGAGCCGCTGAATCCCGCCTCCTGTAGGCTGCGCAAGGGAATTTTGCCCGTCCTGGCGTTGCTGTTGCTTTTTCTGCTGCTGGCGCCTGGGGAGAAGGCTGCCTTTCTCGACTTGGCCTCGCCCAAAGGAAGCCGCATGTTGTTTGCCTTTCCTCGGGGGGGCGAGTCGACTGAGTCCCGTGGCGTCCTCGTGAAGACTTCGAGATTCGTCCCTTTCTTCTGCCTACTGCGTTGTGAAGAGGGCAACTTGTCCCCCTTTTCTTCCCCCTTCCTCTCACAAGGAGAAGAGCCTCTGTCTCCGGCGCTTCTCTTCCTCCTGTGGTAATGGTAGATTCATTGGCTCCCTTTCCTGGTGAGGCGTCGCAATACTCCATCCCGGGCCTTCAGTCCTTTTCTCGCCCCACTTGAGGCGAATGGAAC